AAAAAAAAAAAAAAAAAGAAGGAACCATTCCCTGGAAAAGGATATCATGCTTGGTAAAGTGGAGGGTCAGTGAAGGGGAATGCCCTCAAGGAGATGGATAGACACAGTGGCTGCAATGAGGGGCTCAGGTATAGCAAGGATTGTGAGGCTGGCACAAGACCAGGCAGTGTTTCATTCTGTTGTGCCTAGGGTCACTATGAGTCAGAAATGACTCGATGGCATCTAACAACAATAACAACATATGCTAAGTACGTATTCTAGGTAGGAACTGGGTGAGGTAGCAGTGGTCAACAAGACAAAAAAGGTCCCATTTATAGCAGAAAAACCATCAATGAAATAAGTCATCAGATAATTTCGATTAGTATGAAATGCTATTTAAAAATTTTAGAAAAAGTAAATGGAGAGATGGGTCTAACTTTAGATAGAGCTGTCAGGGGGAGCTTCTATGAGGAGGTGGCATTTAAGCTGGGGCCTGAATAAGAAGAAAGCAGCCAAACACTGATTTTGGGAGGGAATATTCCTGACAAAGAGAAAATCAAAATCAAAGACTTGGAGGTGAGTTTGAATATTTCAAGGAACAAAAAGGCCAATATGACTGGAGAGCAATGAGCAGTGGGGGAGAGTGACCTAGAGAGATAGACAGGGCCTGAATATTCAGGACTGGGTAGGTAAGGACTTTATTTTAGGTGCAAATAAAATTTATTTCAAGTTTTTAAGTAGAGATGTAACATTTTATCTGTATTTAAGTTTTTTAAAAATCACTCTGACTGCTATTTAGAGACTATATCATAGAAGGAGAATAAGTTTGGAAATAAGGAGAATGGCATTTAGGCCATTACTGCAGTTCTTGTGAGAAGTAATGGTGGCTTAGACAAGGATGACAGCAAGACAAAAAAATGAATGGATTCAGGATATATTTGCCAGTAGAATTTATTCATCTTGTTGATGGGTTGTGGAGTATAAGGAATAGACCAGGATCAAGAATAATTTAGATTTTTGGCTGATCACTGGAGTGAATGATTTCCTGATCATAAGATCTTCAAAGCCTTTTTTCCTTTTTCACAAGCTAAGGGTCATGAACTTTTTTCTCTTTTCAAAACCTGATCTCACATTGGTAAGGTTTAATGTGTTAATTTACAACATATATTTTCCTCTTAACTGCTTGTAATGCCCCTGTTTGCTTTAGTCAATAAAATAAAGTGCTGACATGACTTTTAATCATCAATAAGTCTACTAGGAATAGGTATTTTGTGGAATAAGGAAACATATCTAAAGTATTGCCTTATACGCACGACATGAAGCCTATCTTCTGCAATAATTATTAGAAATAAATGTTGAAATTGTACAAAGAATACTCATGATCCATCATGAACAAATATTTTATAAAATACAAGTAATATATTTTGTTCTTTGTTGTGTTTCAGCTAAGGATGGTTGTTCTAGCTGTAAGTATTTTAAAATAACAAAACTATCAATAGATTATGTCAATTTAGTCAAACAATTGATCTATATATACTAGAAAAAAATAAACTAATATTTTGGGGAGGTTGTTTTACTTGTTCTGCTTTGCTGAGTTCATTTAATAATTTAGTCTAAACACCCAATTTAGTTCTTCTTGAATTCATAGCCTTAAGATAACTCAATTGCAAATTATTTTTAAATAGGTATATACAAATCCAGAAGACCCTCAGGTATGTGTGCTGTGCTTGAGTTATAAGGAAACATAATGCCTCTAATATGTAAAAATAGTATAAAACTATATTATTCTTTTAGGAGCTCTGGTAGCATAGTGCCTAAGGCACTTGATGCTAACCAGAAGGCTGGCGGTTCAAACCCACCAGCCACTCCTCGGAAGGAAGACGAGGCAATCTACTTCCGTAGTGATCCTGCCTCAGAAACCCAAGGAGGGGTCGCTATGAGTCGGGTCCAACTCGACAGCACATAACAACAACAACAACAACATACTGTTCTTTTAACTGTGCTTTAACCAATGCACTTTCATAAATATTTATACATTTGAACCTCATAAAAACTTCTTGAGGTAAGGCAGGGCTTGTGTATCTTTAAACAGATTAATAAATTTACTACAAGAGAGATTCTAGTATGACTGATTCGGGATCACAAGGCTAGAAATTGTTATAAATAACTTAAATCTCCTGATTTCGGGTTCTTTACAATATTCTGTCTGTAGAATTATGAAAGGGCTTGAGTTTGAAGAAAATAAGAAACTCAAATTTTGAATATCTGTGCCAATCTAGTCACATCTACCTGTTCATCTGCTAATTAAGGGAAAGCAGGAAGACAACTAATGAAAGGGGAAACCAGAAAATAAAAAACAAGAAAAGACTATTGAGTGCTTACTACATACTAGGCTTTATTCTTTGGAGCTATATATGCATTATCTCATTTGTTCACCTCAACCTCAGTGAGGTTACTACCATTATCATTTCAATTTTACAGATTGAAAAAAAATAATAACTACAAGGTAACTTGCCTAGGGTCCCCAGTGGCAGAAATGACAGAACCAGAACTTGAACCTACTTAGTCATTACACTCTGTTACAATATAATGTTTCATTCAGTGATAGAGAAGCAGATTTAAAGCCATTTTTTAAAGCTAATCCTTATCCCTATGTGAACATTAAAAGAAAGCAATAAAAATTTTAAGAGCTTTAGGAGAACTGGGAATCTGTCTTCTTTAATATCCATTCATGTAATCAGCATTTAGTATATGTCCAAGGTGACAAAGCAGATTATTTGGGCAAAAGCTATGAATTAACTCATTGTTCAGAAAATGTTCATTTATTCTCAAGTGTTTTATAGTTGTGCATTTTTATTTGATTAAAAGAGCCACCTTTCTGGTGCACTAAATAAAAATAACATTTACTGAATGCTTGCAGTATGCATTTGATGAATATTCACAACCACCACTGAGATAGGCACTGTTTTCAATCCCTTTTATTAGCTGGAGAAATTGAGACTTAGAAAAGGTTTAAATTATTTTCCTGCGATTATAGGATAGCAAGGATGTAAACCCCGTGCTTAGCTACTCTGCTGAGGTATGCTGCCTCCCTTATCTGCCTGCTAAGGAGTTCCTTCCTTATAATATACATAACATATCTTACAATAAGTAGGAGAATACATCTCTCTCCAAGAGGACCCCAAAAGCCCAGACCATGGAAATTGGCTGAGGACTTGAAAGCCTCAATGGGCCAATAGATTAATTAACGTGGCAGAAAAAATAATCAAATAGATGTTAAGAATCATAAATACATAGCAGTTTGACAGCCAGTACTGTATATTAGATGCATAACTGTAATGTTTTCTATTTAAGGCAATTTCAGAATGTTACCAATTTAAATTCAAGTATACCAATAATGGACCAGTAATGGACTTCTTAAGGTATTGTTCTATAATTTCTTTTGCATTACAGAACACCACTTATTCATACTAATACTATACAGCCAAATTTCAGGATCAATTCTAAAATATCTCACATATTCCCAATTAACTATCTAAGCGTATAATATATACTTGGAGTAGCTAATTATATACTGTTTTAATTGTGGTAACAGAGCCAAAGAGTAGTAAACTACTGTATGCTTGAGTGATTAAAAATATAATTAACATCTATCATTTGTTTCTTTTAACACCTTATATAAAAATATATGAATTATTTTATAAAAAATTGAGTCATTAGTTTATAACAATGATATTAATGATGATACTAGTGATACTTTAAAAAATTGCAATACTAACATAAACACATTTTTATGGTAACTTACAATTTAACAATGTAATGCTGTAATAGGAGTAAGATCTCAAATAGTAAAATGGGAAGTTATAAAATTAGAAGCCACAGGTTTCACAAAAGAAATTGTGTGATTCTTTTCTAGTCAAAACCAAAACAATGGATCTAGCATGTCCTCTGCTGACACTAAGAAAGCAAGTATTCTCCTCATTCGCAAGATTTATATTCTAATGCAAAATCTGGGACCTCTACCTAATGATGTTTGTTTGACCATGAAACTTTTTTACTACGATGAAGGTACTATTTGTAATACATCCTATTTCAATTAGTATCTGCAGGTTTTATTATTATTGAATGTCAGTTTACATTCTAATTTAGATAAATATTTTAAAGCATCTAAATTATTATTTATTTTTAGGAATCATAAAATTAGTATTTAATATCAGTATTTGAAAATAAATATTTGAACAAATAGACTTTAAATTACATACAGATTTCTCTAGTGCTAAGAACATATCCGTGTGAGGTAAAGCCTCATTCATAATTAAAGAAATGTAACAATGAGATATCATTTTTCACTTATCAGATTGGTAACACTTGTAAACCCACTATTGGCAAGGGTATGGGGAAGCAGGCATTTTTATATACTCTTAGGGGGAAATGTATATATATATGTATAAAATTTTTAGAGGACAATTTAGCAGTACCAAAATTTTAAATGTACATTCTCTTTAATCTATAAATTCTATAGCTAGAAAAATATTTTGAGAATATACTTGCACAAATATGTAGGGTTATGTATTATAATGATGTTCATTATTATAACATGGGTTAAGATAGGAAAAACTGGAAACAACTTAAATGTACTTCATTGGGGGAATTGAGTAAATTTTGGTGGACCTCTATAATAGAATCAACTCAACAGCACCTATAACAACAACACTTCCATTTAAAAGAATGTGCTGATAAGTTATTTAAGAGATATTATTAAATTTTAAAAAGGCTAGTATCACCTTTGTATTTTTAAGAATATAAAATGTATCTTTCACATGCATAATATCTTCTAGAAACACATAAAGCAACAACAGTAATAAAAGCTAACAATATGTGCTAGTTCTTTTTTGAACATTTTATAAATTTTAATTCACTTAATACCTACAATAACTCTATAAGGCTTTTCCACTGCTGTTGAGTCAATTCACACTCATAAAAACCCTACAGGACAGAGTAAAACTGCCCCATAAGGTTTCCAAGGCTGTAAATATTTATAGAAGCAGACTGCTACAACTTTTCTCATGCAGAGTGGCTGTAGGTTTGAACCGCCAACCTTTTGGTTAGCAGCTGAGCATTTTTTGACCATTGTGCCACTAGGGCTTCGTCCCTGTGGGGTAAGTACTATTATTTTCCCCATTTGACAGATGATGAAATCAAATTAGATATATTTGTAATTTGTTTAAGGTCACACAGCCAGTCAAGTGAAGTAAACAAAGATTAATTTGAGGGAATAAAATGGAGACTTGGAAATAATTTGTTGTTGTTGTTAACGTGCCATCGAGTGGGTTCGTGGTTCAAACCCACCAGCCATTCTCTGGAAGGAAAATGGGACAATCTACTTCTGTAAAGATTTACTGCCTTGGAAACACAGTAGGAATCACTATGAGTTAGAATTGATTCTATAGCAGTGGGTTTAGAATTTTTTTTTTTTTTTTTGGTATACTATTTGAAGAAGCTCTGGTGGCACAGTGGTTAAGCGCTTGGCTGTTAACCGAAAGGTTAGTGGTTTGAACCCACCAGATGCTACATGGCAGAAAATTGTTCACTATGTCCATTTCCCAATTGGAGATACAGATGAATGTGCCCAACGTCATGAACTCCTAAGTGAAAAAGCCAAAAGATGAACCCAGGCATATGGTCCAATTCTGACTCTCAGAACTACTAGCCTGAACTCATCACACAGCCTTGGGATCCTTATTCACTGTGCAAAGGTGTTCCAGCTTCGGTATATGCCTGCTTTCATAAAGATTTACAGCCTTAGAAATCCTATGGGGTAGTTCTACCCTGTCTCATAGGGTTTCTATGAGTTGGAGTCAACTCAGTGACAATGAGTTTGTTTCTTGTTTGGTTTATATTGTTTGAAATTTCTTCTATCTGTATGTATTTTCATAATGTTAATAGTCTTCTTCCTCAATTTCATAAAAAGCACAGTTTATAATTACTTTTTCTACAGTTACACCACCAGATTACCAGCCTCCTGGCTTCAAGGATGGCAACTGTGAAGGAGTGATATTTGAAGGGGAGCCTATGTACTTAAATGTGGGTGAAGTCCCAACACCTTTTCACACCTTCAAAATAAAAGTGACCACTGAGAAAGAACGAATGGAAAACATTGATTCAGCTATACTGTCACCAAAACTATCATTAAAAACACCACTTCAAAAAGTCCTGATGGGCAAAGATGATCTAGAAGATGAACAGGAGCATTACATAAGTGTAAGCATTTAAAGAGTTACAAAGTACAATGATAATATATGCAACGATAATGTATGACTCAATTCTGAAAACTTCAGTAGCTCTCAATAATATTTATATAAATAATATACAGGCATATCTCATTTTATTGTGCTTCGTTTTATTGTGGGAACTTTGGTAGCATAGTGCCTAAGGCATTTGACTGCTAACTAGACCCCTGGTGGCTGAAATCCACCAGCCACTCCTAGGAAAGAAGGTCAGGCAATCTACTTCCATAGTGGAAACCAAGGAGGGGTTGCTATGAGTCAGATACGACTCAACGGCACTGAGTTTGGTTTTGATTTTTTGCTTTATTGTGCCTCACAGATACTACATTTTTTACAAATTGAAGGTTTGTGGCAACCCTGTGTCCAAGCAAGTCTATTGGCGCCATTTTTCCAATAGGATTGCTCATTTCATGTCTTCTGTGTCACATTTTGGTAATTCTCATAATATTTCAAATGTTCTCATAGTGCTGTTGTACACATAATATACTATCAGTATAGTGTAAACATAATTTTTATATGCATTGGTAAACCAAAAAATTCATGTAATGCACTTCATTAAAATATATGCTTTATTGCTGTAGTTTGGAACTGAACCTGTAATATCTCCAAGAGTTTGGTTTTTCGTTTGTTTTATGCCTGTATTATAATCATAAACTCAAAGTTGGAAGAGACCTTAAAGAAGGTGTAAGCCTGAGATTTTCAAACTTTTTACATTGATCCAAATAACATTATACTCAGAAATTTTAAAACAAAACTATTCTGATTGAAGCAGGGCATGGTGCTAGAGGCCCAGCCAATCATTGCCTAGAAATCTGGAGCATAATTTGAAAATCAGTTTAGTCCATTACCCAGCAAATGCTGGAATCCTTTCTACATCTTTCCTAAGTGCTCATGTAGCCTGTACTGGAAATTCCTCCAGAACTGGAAAGTCATTATCCTGAAACAGCCTTGGAAGTTCCTGGAAGACAAGAAATGTGTGTTATTCATCTTTGTAACCCTCTTCTGCCTAGCTAGCACTTTGATTTGCAGTCAGTGGGTTCTCAGTATTGCCTGAATGATGCGATGAATAGCAGTATAAAAGTGTCTTTATTTATTTAGGATGCCTCACTCCTAGGAAGTGTGAAAGCTATCATTTATTTAATATTTTAGCGATAACATGGGTTTTTTTAATCTCATCTCTATTTTTTCTCTTGTTTTATTCAAAATTGTGACCATAGTACAAATTTACAGAGGCTGACTCTTCTCAATTAAGATTGCTACTCTGTGCCCACATCTTTACAAATAAAAGATTCAAGTACTTTTCAACCAATTCAGTCAAGGAAGAAAACTTTTCCCAAAAACTTAAATCCCAGTCTTGCTTTATAAATAAATATGTGTTGTTGTGATGTTATGTGCCATCGAGTTGGACCCGACTCATAGCGACCCCTCCTTGGGAAGTACGGAAGTAGATTGCCCCATCTTCCTTCTGATATATCTGGGATTTATGTAGCATTCCTCAAAATATTTAAAGCTCTTTGACATATGTCAAAAGGGAATAATAATTATAATTAGACATGTCATAGTAAGGAAAAAAAAGACTACAAGTCTGTTTAAAGTAAAAACAGTTTATTATGGTGAAAGAACATTTTGCAAAATTGGGAAACACAGAGTCAAAAGTTTTTGATTGCAATTGAGTAGGGGATATTTGGGGTATATTTGATTGAATGATGTTGTTATTGTTGTTAGGTGCCATTGAATCGGCTCCAACTCATAGCGACGCTATGCACAAGAGAACGAAACAGTGCCCGGTCCTGTGCCAGCCTCACAATCCTTACTATACCTGAGCCTATCCTTGCAGCCATTGTGTCAATCCATCTCCTTGAGGGCTTTCCCCTTTTTCACTGACCCTCCACTTTACTAAGCATGATATCCTTCTCCAGGGAATGAATGGTCCCTTCTGACAACATGACCAAAGTAGGTGAGACAAAGTCTGCCATTCTTGCTTCCAGGGACCATTCCGGCTGCACTTCTTCCAGGGCAGATTTGTTCATTCTTTTGGCAGTCCAGGGTGCTTTCAGTATTCTTCACCAACACCACAACTCAAAGGCATCAACTCTTCTTCAGTCTTCCTTGTTCACTGTCCAGCTTTGACATGCATATGAGGCAACTGAAAATACCATGGCTTGGGTTAGGAGCACCATAGTCTTCAAGGAGACATCTATGCTCTTCAGCACTTTAAAGAGGTCTTTTCTAGCAGATTTGCCCAATGCAATACGTTGTCTGATATCCTGATTGATGCTTCCATTGGTGTTGATTGTGGAACCAAGTAATATGAAATCTTTAACAACTTCAGTCTTTCTCCATTTATTGTGATGCTGCTTATTGGTCCACTTGTGAGGATTTTTGTTTTCTTAATGTTGAGATGTAATCCATAATGCAGACTGAAGTCTTTAGTCTTCATTAGTAAGTGCTTCAGGGAGCTCTGCAGCGTAGTGCCTAAGGCACTTGACTGCTAACCAGAAGGCTGGCACTTCAAACCCACCAGCCACTCCTTGGAAAGAAAGTTGGGCAATCTACTTCCTTAGTGATATTGCCTCGGAAACCCAAGGAGGGATCGTTATGAGTCAGGTCCAACTCAACAGCATATAACACACACACACAATAAGTGCTTCAAGTCATCCTAACTTTCAGCAAGAAAAGTTGTGTCGTCTGAATATCACAAGTTGTTAATGAGTCTTCCTCCAATCCTGATGCCCGTTCCTCTTCATATAGTCCAGCTTCTCGGATTATATTTGTTCAGCATACAGATTGAATAAGCATGGTAAAAGGATACAACCTGACACACTCCCTGATTTTAAACCATGCAGTAGCCCCTTGTTCTGTTCACACAGCAGCCTCCTGGTCTATTGATTGGATAGTATTTACAAAGTTGCAAGTGCTAGGGTCTTGGTTGACCACTTCTGCAGGAGTTGGTCATCTTTGTCAGGATAACTCTAGGCGACATGATTTTGGATAACTATAAGCTTCCTTAAACAATTTAAAATTATAGAGGGTGCTTTAAAGAGGTGGGGGGATGATAGGGGCATTTTCAGAGAATTGGCTGACCACTAAAGTCACATGCTTAACACGCTTGCATACTGGAAGCCAGACAAAACCACATTCATCAGCATTACCTAATTCTAATCTGTACAGTGTTTTGTAAAATTCTCCATTCTATCAAATACAAAGCAGATGTAAGTCTCAGTGAGAAAATGAAATTTGGCCTACTGTGGAATTTGGCCTACAGCGGAATTTGGCCTACAGCTCAGTTAGAATCCTTAGTCCAGTCAAGTTAAGTTTTGGAAAGCTTTTTCTCATTTCCTACTTCTGATCAAGAATTCTTATGGGAGTTCAATGATCACACTTAAGAGTATTTTTTTTCCACAGAGACTTTGCTGTATGGAGTTATAGATGGCCATTTGTTGTTCATAAGTCCTTAAGACCTCAGATACTGGAGGTTCCAGTAAGATGGCAGGATAGGCAGAAAGACTGCACAGACCCTCTTCAACAAAGAAAAGGGAAACCAATTAACACAGACACAGAAGATAATCCTGGACCACTGAGCCTTAAAGGGAAGGATATAGAAGTGGACTAAACTCCAACTAGCAGAAGAATTTGCATGAAAATACCAAAAAAGGAGACATGGAGCTGCGGTCTGGAGGAGATCCTGAGCGATTCTGATGGCACAGACAGCTTGGAGATTGCCGAGTGTTGGTAGGACCTAAGAATTAACCTAAAAATCAGCCTGCTAGCCAGGGACTGCACGGAGGACTGCTCTAGTGGCTAGGGAATAAAAGGCAAAGCAGCAGTGAAGAGGAAGGTGGGCTGAGCTGTGGATTTTTGCCTGTCCAGAGAGTGCAACCATTTTGAATATTTACAAGTGGCTTGACCATTTTAGATATTTAAAGTGACAGTGTTCTCCAGGATTCCAGGGGCTTAAGCACAGGTTCCACTTGCCAGTAACCCCAAGGACATTCCGGACCTGGACGGCTGGAAAGGTGCGACACTCCCCTTGTTACTCTTATACCCCACACCCTCCTGGTGAACAGAGGTGCGGGCATCCCCCACTCCCACCCACCTTCTGGGCCCACAGGAACTCCATCCCAGTCTGTGTCCTCAGACAGCCTAGGTGTCCTTCCCTGCTCTCCCCCCATTTTTTCTCTCTTTCTTTTTTCTGTTTTTTAGTTTGCTTGTTTTTGTCTGTTTTAAAACCGCAATTATTATTACTACTTTTGTCCATTATTCTTTATTCTTGCCCTCCCAGGTCCTAGTTTTCAGTTTTTTTTCTTTTCCCTTTCCTGGTTGCAATTTTTTTTTCTTTTTTTTTTTTTTTGTAGTTAACCCCATTCCTTGTTTTTCTTTTTGCATTTTTCCCATTTGTTTCTTCATTATTCTCCTTCTCTACCTTTTTTCTCTTATTGTCCTTCCCCAGATATTGCAGGTTTCCTTCTTCTCTTTCCTTTTTTTTTGGTTACTGTTCCTGTGTGATTGTATGGTATATTTTGTCCATGTGCTTTTACTTTTTTGATGGTTATTCAATTGTAATTTTTGTCTAATTGCGTGGGAGACAGCAACAGTCCCCATAAGACACAACTACACCCACACCTCCTGCAACTTCACTTACTGAGTGAGACCACCACCTCCTTCTCCACCAATGGGCCAACGATAAAAAACCACCAAAAGCCTGAGTCACCCTTCGCTACTCTTCACAAACAGTCAACAGAGATCTAAATACAACAATGCCATGATGTCTTGGAGACAACTGACCATCACAGTCCACACAAAGAAGAAAGATAAAGTGGTAGAAACAAGGGAGCAGGATACAGACCCAGAACACATCCCTGAGGAAAAAGCAGCACTGGAACTCTCTGATAAGGAATTCAAAAGAATTATCTTTAGGATCTTCAAAGGATTGAGAGACAGACCAAGGAAAACAGACAAAACCCTAGA